AAATTTCTATTACTTTTTATTTCAACTGAATGTTCTGTTAGATATTAAATGAAAAGTCTGATATTAATTCATGAATTAAAAACGTAATCATTGTTGGTTGAAGAACAGCTGCTGTGAAAGTGTTCCTACTGAAATAAAAATATTATTATTATTAACTTTATTTAATGCAAATTGGAGTTTATTATGAGAAATTTCTATAAATGTAAATAAAATCACGACCTATATCTCCAGAATGTAACTTTATTAGCTCAATATTTCACTGTTACAGCCTTGTCAGGAGCTATCGATATCCCACAAGTTCACTAATCCAGTTAAATCTCTTAAATGTTATTTTGTTACTTACAAACACACAATTGAGTACCATTGATTATAACAACTTCTACATCATTAACTAGTGATAATTAACATTAAACATGAAGGCTGATAATATGTACGCAATGCAAACAGGTGAATGATATATAGTAGGTTCAACAGTTACTACAGTAAGAGATTTAAGTGTTAGTTAAAAAAAACCCACCCGAAGCCTGCGGATGCCTGCTCTTGTGATCAACTGACAATCATACAACTCAATTCGTTGCAAACTATGGCATGAAACTAGATGATCCAAGGAAGCATCAGTGATAAGTGGACAATTATCTAGTTCCAGCACTGTCAAAGTGTCTGCAGCACAGCCGTTTGTTCCCAGGTGACGAATCCCGTCATCCGTAATAAGTTCACAGTGGGACAAGCTCTACAAGATAAAAGATTTATTTTCTTATAATTGTGAAAAATATAAACATACTAATTAGGTTTTTATTACTTTGAAAGTTATTTGCTCTGATTCAGAAGTTTTTTGTTTTATGCATGAGATATTTTATCTTATTTACTTTTTTGAAACTGAGAATGTATATGGAAAAGTTACAAAATTAAAACAGTGAACTTTACTACAAATATAGTCACTGTAGAATTGTCTGGACAGCAGTAAATAGAGGAATATTTACTAATACAGTTTCCTGGGAAAATTAATATTAAAATACCAAAGAGATACATTAACAACTATACAAAGAGAGTTGAATTAAAGGATATACAGACCATTTAGAATAGTCATCCTGACTTTGAAGTTTACTGTTTTGCGGATGATTGGATGGCCCAGTTGAAACATGATTTAAGTCTTATTAAACTGTTATAATAAATCACACCCTTGTGCATTAAATAAATTGTTACCTACTTAACCAGTAATGTCTGTTGCTGATTTGTTACAAAATATTTAATTGAAATTTTGCTCCTTATTATTATGGAAGGTCAAAAATAAATATTTGTCGACTTTTTTTCTGTTGGACTGTCCAATGTTATGGAGATATATTGATAGATAAACAAAATATGCCACCTAAAAAACAGCAAAGCAATGGAATAAGTTCTGTAAATTTACTGTTAAACCAAAATTTTTGCTAAGTTGAAAACAAAAATTTTGTCAACCTTTTTTTAGATGTCTATTTAACTACTTGCCAATCAATAAATTTTCTTTGAGAAGCCAAAACAGCTAGTTTTATGATATAAGAGGAATTTACTTAGGAAAAAAATAAGTTAAAAGAATGGTTTGCGTTACCTACTCAATAAAAAGGCCCATGAAGATGATCTGTGGTGTAAAAAGAATTTATTCAGCAAATAAGTTATTCAAAAAAAATTTGTTTCTGTACTCAGTAGAGGTCTGTGAAGGTGTAAAAAGAATTTATTTAGCAAGAATCTGTAATCGTACAATATATGTGAAACTTATAAAATACAATGAATATAGAACTCTCTACATATTGGTTTTTAATACAACCTGTTATTATGAAAATGGTAACTCTCTGTTTAAATGAAAACCTGTCCACTAACTGATTCAAGGTGCAATCTAAATACATCAACAGGTTTCATATTTACTAAAACAGATTGCTTACTTCTAACCTGAAAGCAGCTATGAAGATGTTAAATGTACTTAGTTTTCTGTCTGAGCAGTGGTAACATATTTTAAAATAAACGTGTGTACTGTATTAGAAGAAAAAAACACTAAAGTAACAATGTTATGACATTCTGTTATCAATAAACTATTTTTAACATATTAGAATTAGAATGAATACAATAAAAAGACTATCTGTTTGAATCCCACTAAAAACAGGAGGTTTAAAGCCCCAGAACAATCCAACTGTTAATTTTAGAGACATGATAATGGTCTTGTGTGATAGTGTAGGTGTAGATTAAACCACTTTACTGTTCACTTATTAACAGTAGTCCACAAAATATGGTTGTTGGGTGCACTGATGGCAGTCGTGAATGGGACCTAAGCTTATCAGATAGATTTGGTTACAATATTAAAAATCTTAGTTATACATCAGTTGTTTTTACGTCTTATGGTGTCTATCATGGGACTGGTAAAGCATTAATCTTTAGTTCGTATTAGATGAGATATAACAATAAGGCTGATAGTAATTTCAATTATATCCCCCTTTACTGGCTTGAGCAAGTAAAATGTATTACAAAGTAACAATCATTCTTCACCAACCCAAGTGTTACACTTCATGACTTAAGGTGACACGTGCACCTGTCTGGGATGTGCTCACAGGTTTCTGGAACATCTCACTCATTTATGAAGATATTCCAATGGAAATGGGCAGTTCAACAGAAAAACCAGACCTTCTTGTGGCTCAGCAGTAAGTTTGGGTGTTTTGTAACACTAAAACACTGGGTTTCCATAACTGCAGTGGGTAGAGCATAGACGACCCATTGTAGCTTTTTGCTTAAATACAGACAGAAAAACTGGGGCTAAGTTTTCTTCTGGTGCAAATATTTTGGAAGAAGTGGTAACATTTTTATTTTTGTAAAAAGCAGTAATACTTTACAATTAAAAAGATTATGTTAACTAATTTTGGACAACCTCATAGTGGTTACTAGTTTTGGATAGTGGAGTAGTAAAGCTATACTTCAACATATGGAAAAGCCTAAATTTTAAAAATGATATTAATGATATTTTAAGAACCATAAAACCATTTTGAAGCAAGGTACGTTTTCCATGTGTCATATTATAGCATTAATACCTACCACACTACCCAAAACTAGTGAGCATTCTTGGTATCACTAAAATGAATTTAATGGGCAGCACCTTGTGGAAGACAAAAGATAGATGTGAAGTGATATTTTTACACACACCTCTGATTTCAAGCAGCAATGAACAGATTAAGAGGAATGTGTGAAACCTATTGGTTTTCCTTTTTCCTATATTTTGCTATTTGCTGATATTTAAATCGAAACTACTATTTTGACAATAATAAGGTCAGTTCTTTATCATTAATTAAAAAAATCTTCATGCTGCTTTGTGGTTAAGTAGAAAACAACCTTTTAAATGCCTTAGTGGATGATTTACTATAACGATTTAGTAAAACATAAAACAATAATATTTTAATAATCTCTACATATTTCATCTTCACCACCGGTCGATATAGTGGAAATTTAGGCTTGAAAAAAAGTCTGACAGAAATTCAGGGCTAATAGTAATATT